TTTAATTGCAAATACCACTGCTAGCCCCTGCATGGGCAAATCTATTGCTTACCTATTATTTTCTGTTTAAAACCAAAAAACATTATTGAAATAGAAAATTTAGCAAAGGCTAATTGCTCCTTTGTAATAAAATGCACTATACAATCAAGAAGTCCCAGTACTTCTAAAAACACTTTTTTAGCTTTAAAATTTGAAGTTTAACTTAAGTGCCATATTTCTAGGCCCATCGCTGCTTACCCACAGCTGGGAGTGATCCATTCTCTTGTGCCTGTGATCTGAGATACCCCGTACATTGATTGGGCTCCCACCATTACTAGAACAAGTACTCATCCTTTTTCAAGACCCGCACATGCACACTTTTCTTCCTGCTGCCATAGTGGTCCATTGTTGTCCCCCACTCCTTCATTGTCCAATGCCGCCAATCACTTCTGGGTTAAATGTAGGCCAGCATCTTTCAACCAACTGCCTGTGAACCCAAGCTGTCAATGACACACCCGATAGGGGTGCATCATTATGCAGCCCACTAAACTCACAGTACTGTTGGACTGAGTGGTGCTCACACATCATTACGTGTACCTTCAAGAAATAAGAGAAAGGTTCCATAATATCACCAGACTTTCCTGGACACTGTAGAAAGGTATGACCTAAAAGTCTGTGAAGGTTCTCATTTATCCAGGTCTTGGTATAGCTATTAGTAGTTGAATACATTCAACAGGACATGTCCTTTAATGTTAAAGATGTTTTGTAGCTTATCCAAGCCACTTCTCTAGTTCCTAGAATATCCAGTATGACCTAGAATGTCAGATAGCAGTTTACGTCGTGGACTAAAGGATTATAGACTCACCGGCCAATTTATTAGGTACACATTGTTAGTGCCAAGAAAATATCCCCCACACCATTACACCACCACCAGCCTGAACCGTTGATACAAGGCAGGATGGATCCATGCTTTCATGTTGTTTATGCCAAATTCTGACCCTACCATCTGAATGTTGCAGCAACAAGTCTTCCCATTCTCCTCTGACATCAACAAGGCATTTTCATCCACACAACTGCAGCTCACTGGATATTTGCTCTTTGTTGGACCATTCCCTATAAACCCTAAAGATGGCTGTGCATGAAAATCCCAGTAGATCAGCAGGTTTTGAAATACTCAGACCAGCCCGTCTGGCACCAACAACCATTCCACATTCAAATCACTTACATCCCCTTTCTTCCCCATTCTGATGCTCATTTTGAAATTCAGCAAGTCATCCTCACCATGTCTAGATGCCTAAATGCATTGAGTTGCTGCCATGTGATTGGCTGATTAGCAATTTGTGTTACCAAGCAATTGAACAGGTGTACCTAATAAAGTGGCCGGTGAGTTTAAATCTCATTTATAGATAATTTTAACATTAAAATAAGGAACACCAAGAATGAGCAAATGGAATAAAAAATACTTTAATGCAATCATTACAACTTGCATGGCTAGTGGAGGAAGTCAGAGCCAAGACCTCCAGAGAGCACATCTTGCTGATGAAGGGTTCTACAGTTCTAAAAAGCCAATAAGTAATTCATCCCACTAAAAGCCACCAAAAATAGAGTTATTCCCATTGAGAGAGCTTAAAAAGCGGGAGATCTGAACTTATGTTTAGACCCACAGATGGATACAACTTCTCGTGTGCAACGAGAGGGAGGTAGGTCTATGAAGACCTTAAAGAAGGAGATACATGAGGGCCAACTAGTGGACATATGGAGAATAACGCATGGAAAGGAAAGAGACTATACCTTCTTCTCTAATGCACACGAGACTTACTCAAGATTGGATTATATAATGGTAGACCATCAACTTATTGAGAGGGTGGTTAAAGTAGAAATAGAGACAATGACTATCTCAGACCATGCCCCAGTTATAATGAAGGTAAGATGGGGGAGGCAGTGGACAAGGGGGGTAGGATGGAGGTTAAATGAGGCCCTTTTATTAGATCAAGAGATCGATCAGCAGATCAGAAAAGAGATGGAAAGATACTTTCAAGAGAATGAAACAGGGGATGCATCAGTGGCCACTGTCTGGGAATCCCATAAGGTATATATTAGGGGTATATTGATCGCGCTAGGGGAAAAAAAGAAAAAGGAAAGGAGTAAGAAACTGACAGGGCTCTTAAAAGAAATATACGACCTGGAACAGATCCATAAAAATAGAATAACAAGTGAGATAAGGCAGAAGGTATCAGGAAAGAAGAAGGAGTTGGAGATATTAATGGGAAGAAGAAAGGAGGAGAGTACTCAATAAAGTAGCAGTGGAGAGGTATAGATGGGGAGATCGACCAGGAAAACACTTAATGAGAACCCTGAGAAAAAAAGAAAAATAGAAATTATATAGAAAAAATAAGAAATCCCAAGGGAGAAATGGCTCACTCTACTAAATGAAAAAGTATGAATGGATGTCCAGGACAAGAGGGCTATCTGTCCCCATTGGTATGTATTATCATTTGGAACCTGTTGGAAAACATATTGAAGGGAAGAACGTAGTGATACAAATCGGGGGAAAGAACATAAAGTGGCAGCTTTTTGCAGACGACCTGTTGTTTGATGTGGGAAAGGTAAACTTTACGAATTTATAAGAAGTTTAAACCAGAGTGCTTCATCATACAAAAATATGTTTTAAATTAAATTTATTGCTCTTCTAAATATCAAAGGGAAGGTATTCAAGGAATATTATAGCAAGCTGTATAATATTAATTCCCAGAAATTAGCAAATAATAGTGAAAATGAAAACAGAGAAAAAAGAAGGGCATATTTAAAAAATGCAGGACTACCAAAGATAGATGAAGATCTATTGAAATCCCTGGAGTTGGAAATTCCGCATTACAGGAGGAAATAAAGATAGCGTTGAAAGATACTAAGGTGGGGAAACGGGGCACGGACCAAAAATATATAAGAAAAATTCTCACTGAATTAGTCACGGAGGTAAAACCAATGTATATAGAAAAATGGGAAAAGGACTTGGGGACAGAGATAGATGAGGATAAACAGAGAAAAATATATAGACTCACACATGAAAATATCAGCATGAGAGAAGTGGAGGTAAATTATAAATGTTTGGTAAGATGGCACATCACACCAAAGGTAGAACATAAAATGGGTATAGAGAGAACACAAGAGTGCTGGTGTGGGTGTGGAGGGATTGGTACGTGGTTCACGGAGGTAAAACACAATGTATATAGATAAAATGGAAATGGGACTTGGGGACAGAGATAGATGAGGATAAACAGAGGAAAATATATAGACCTCTAACACTTGAAAAATATTTCAGCATGAGAGAAGTGGAGGTAAAATTATAAAAGTTTGGGTAAGATGGCAACATCACACCATATTTGAGGGATTGTTATACGTGGTTTCCATATTTGGTGGGAGTGCCCAAGGATTCAAAGTTTTTGGGAGAAAATGGTCAACTTAATAGAGAAAATCTCAGGGATAAAGATAGGATTAGATCCAGAAGTGTGTTTGTTACATAAGACAGATATACCAGTGAATAAATACAAGGATTCGGGTATATGGTACTATGTGAATGCAGCAAAGGGGTTGATACCTAGATTCTGGCATAGTTTAGAGGTTCCGAGAGAAAAGGATTGGGTAGAGAGAGTAAATCAGATTAGTAAAGATGAAGAAATTATACTATATCCAAGAAGGTAAGATGGAGATATATAATAGGAGATGGGAGAAATGGGAAGATTTTGAACTTCAAACGAATATATATGAAGCAATAGAAATGAGAAGAGAAGAGGGGTAGGATACGCTTGCTTTAGACAGAAAGCAGGGAAGAACGCAGAGTGGGGGTTTTTTTTTATTTGTTTTTGGGGGGGAGGGGGAAGGGGGTAATGTTTTAAGAAGGGAAAAATAAAGGATAAGAAGGAATTGTGTATTTTATTATGAAAAAGATGAAAGTGTATTGTTATCTCTATGAAAAATTAATAAATATTTAAATAAAAAAAAAAAAAGAGAGATCTTAAAACTGATCTTGAGGCAAACAGCTAAAAATGCAGTTAAATATTATACAGTACATGAGCTGTTTTACCTGTTAAAAGATGTGTAATTCTGTTCAGCCTATCCTGAGATTTACGTAGCCTGCCAAACATCGCAACCAGTTTGGTGACCTGACTTATTCATGAGCTTTACAACTTGGTCATCTCCCTGTACCAAGCCTGTGACAGTGTAGGAGCAACAACAAATATTCCAATCCACGGGTGTCAAACTGGCAGCCCTCCAGCTGTTGCCAAAAGTCCCATGAGGCATTGCAAGACTGACAGTTCCAAGCATGACTCCCAAAGGCAGAGGCATGATGGGACTTGTAGTTTTACAACAGCTGGAAGGCCACCAGTTTGACATCCATCTGCCTTCTTTTTCTGTCAGCGTGTTCCTTGTCAGCACATTGCATGCAGCAGAATCTCATTGACTCATAATTCTACGTCTGCTTCTCTCACCATGCATTCAAGTTCTACATTTAACAACTACATTTAAAAATAAAATCCTATAATGTTGCGCTCCCAAAACACTCCAATTTATAGTTATGTGTTAGATGTTTGCGATCCGACTATATAGACTATATAGAGGACATAAATTTTATGTTGTATATTAGGGAGACCCTTTTTTTGTTTTCTGGCTCGCAAGACACCTTAAATACATTTAAAAATACATTAAATGATCTTTCAGTTCAAAAATAGTTGCATTTGTTTTTTGTTTGTTTTTTTAATATCTGCTTGAAGTTCAGCCTAAAGCATATGCAATCACATTACAAAAAAAATGAAATCCAAGTTGAAGCCATACACTAAGAGCTTGTACTTTGCGGTGACAATGCTACTGATCATTATAAGACAGGGGGTGAGAATTGTCGCCCTGAAAAAGAAGCGACTGCAATCAAATTTTAAACGGTTTTATTGAGCTAAAGAAAAACTTTACGCTATCAGGGTTACATCGCACACAAGATATACATTTGTAGCTTTGGGTTTACAAAGACTTTAGCCTTTAATATGAAGCCTCTTTGTTAGTGCTGATGACCAAGTTTCACCTTTTTGCCCATTGGGTACATGTTTTCTAAATGACAGATACAATTCTCTGTCCACCTTCTCTACCCAAGCAGAGATATAGTGTTTTATATATATAATATTTCCCAGAGGCGGAATCATTCCCATCTCACCTGCTGTCTGTAGGCTCAGCCCTGTGTCCAGCTTGTTGTGCGGCTTGTTGCTGATGAACAGGTAGCAGAGGACACAAACGGTGATGATAAATGCCAACAGGACCACAGCAGCTATGGATAAACCCACCAGTGCTCCCACGCTGCAGAGACAAAAAGCACACATTACTTGACTAGCAGTCTAATAAATTAACTGTTTTCCATTATAAAAAGCCAAATCTACCCAAAGCTGACAACTCAATTTCATATAGTGGCTGCTAAGCTGAACCTCATGCTGGCTTCTTTTTTTTTGGCCTCAGGATCTTATTGTGAATGTAACTTTTCGAAAATTTCAGTTACACACCTTGTTGTACATAACCCCAGTCTGAGCGGGTTGTTTCATATAGATCAGTGGTTTCCAACCCATGGCCCTAGACGGCTATGAATGCAGCCCAACACAAAATGGTAAACATACCTAAAAATGTTGCTTTTAAAAAAAAAAATTGTAAAAATGTGTTTACACTTAGCCAGTGGCGTCCCTAGGCAGGTGCGGGGGGTGCGCGACGCACCAGGTGACACCTGCTGCACGGGGTGACACTGGACCCACTCCACAAAAAGGTAAGTTGTAAAGCAAGCCGACAATCCCCGCAGGATGGATTGGATCTGCGGATTGAGGAGGATAATGGATCGGACTCCGATCCATTATGCTCAATCCGCAGATCCGATCCATCCCGCGGGGATCATCGGCATGCAACCTAAACGCGGTGACGCCCGACCCGTTCCATGAAAAGGTAAGTTGTAAAGTAAGCCGATGATCCCTGCAGGATGGATTGGATCTGCGGATTGAGGAGGATAATGGATCAGACTCCGATCCATTATGCTCAATCTGCAGATCCGATCTATCCTGCGGGGATCGTCGGCATGCAACCTATACGGGGTGACGCCGGACCCGTTCCACAAAAAGGTAAGTTGTAAAGTAAGCCGACGATCCCCGCAGGATGGATCAGATCTGAGGATTGAGCATAATGGATCAGAGTCCGATCCATTATGCTCAATCCACAGATCCGATCCATTCTGCGGGGATCGTCGGAGAGGGTGTCACCACGTGTTATCACACCGGGTGACACCAACCATAGGGATGCCCCTATACTTAGCGAACACATGCAACTGAAGAAAAATTTTACAGTGTCTCTTTACTGTACTTTTATATTTAATCTCTTTTTATTGACTATTGACAGATAATACAGGGTTCAAATTGTATGTGAACAAGTGCATCCAATCAAACAAAAAAAAGTGCATAGATCAATCAAAAAAATATTGTGTTAAACATTGGTTACAAGACATAGATAACTAGTATAATGTTGGAGCCTTCCAGTCTTCAGAAGCCACTGGACTACACTAACATAACAGCAGATGTAAAACAAAATAGGTATGTACCATGTGGGACACCAAACAGCAAAATCCAGTTCAGCTGGGGATAAGATATTTGGGCTAGCAGGCAATATAGTAAAGCCAGCCATCAACTGAAGTATACAAAAAAGTTAGCATGGTAGTAAAAAGACAAAAGAAGAAAAAGAAAAAAGAAAGAAAAGAGGAAGAAAAGAAGGAGGGGAGGGAAGGTGAAGGGGAAACATAAGGGAGGAGCACAGAAATAATGAGGACTTCAAACCTTCGTAGATATTTAGGAGTCAAAGTCAGAAGAGTATCTGATTCTTTGGTTTCTGAAGAGGATCAGACCATACCATCCACATAAGTTTGAATGAGTCAGATTTATCTTCATCCCATGTGATCATCTGTTCCAGGTACTCAATCTTGTCCACCTCACAAGCCCATTCAGCCAACAATGGAGCCCAGACTGGTGCCAACACCTGGCTATCACAGAATCAGAAGCTGTGATAAAGTGCCTAAGGTCCTTTTGATTTGTCTATAGGAGCCTGGCAACATGGACAATACAGTAATCTGAGGTTTATTTGGGATTTTGTCCCCAACCAATTTGTCAAACAAGTGAAAAGTGGCCTGAAAGCAGCTACCAACCCACCAGCTCATAGGAACGGGACTGAGTGAGTAATCATATACCCCTTGAGCAGTTAAAGGGGAAAGAAACACTCTGGTGGAGAACCTAATTAGCTCCTTACCTGGGACTGTTTATCTTAAAGTGGGAGGCACTGGATCCCCTCGCCCAGGGATTCCTTCAGACAGCTGGATAGAAGAGGATTATCTGAGGTCTGGGGTGGTATACCAGGAGAGGCTGGAGAGCTCTCCAAGAAAGTATTTTGCTGTGTAAAGTCTTGTACATAGTTCCAGGAAGCTGTCCTCAGTTACATTTCTACTGGGCATCCCATACACCCCTTACCCCATCCAAGTTATTTATCCCCTAATAAAATCCAAAAAAAGCCAAGCTCAAGGACTGTTTACTGTCTCCTGGATGCGTCTGTGAGGAATGCTTGTTGCCTGGCTGAGCAGGACCATAGGGGAACCCAAATCTCTAGTGACCCCTAAGGGGGTAGTGCTCCATTTGCATGTTACCAATATGTCTTTATCTGGATGTCTAATGTTGCTTCAGGTAAAGCAGAACCCTAGAAATGCCAATCCCTGGAAGAACAAAGTCCATGCAATGTTCCTGGACTGAATGGGAATTCTATGTAGTCCAAATCTTACATGAAGGCACTCCAGCATAGGATATGGGTTACTCTCCCAGAATCCCCCACGAAGGCCAAGTGATGTTACCCTTGCCTAGCCAAACACGTTCGAGTAAAGTGAGTAATTTTTATTACATTTTTCTTCTAATGTTTTTCTTTATGGTTTTCAATTAGGATTTGTAATCTGGAGATGGCAGCTTTCATTTTATATATAAGGACTGCTTTAAACGTAGGACCATAGGTTTGCAAGGACCATACCTCAGTCACCATCTAGTTGTGTCCTCTCACCAACTTACCATTTTGTTATTTTTGCAATTAAGGAGCATGTTTGCTTTGAAGTATAAAAATAACAAAGTGATGGCTGTCTTCTATGTTCCGTTTTGTCCTTGCTACAAAAAAGCTTAACAGCAGTACAAACAAATCTATAATGTTACTAATGTCATATCCCTTCCTGAAAACTAGGACAGCCAAGAATCATTATTTTATAGACGGGTAACAGAAGGGAAGATCAGGGAAGTGTCGGCATGATGCTTTGTTGGGATTGTTGTGTGGTGGTGATTCTTGCAGTTCTGTTGTCCTAATTTTATACCTTACTCCTTTGGTAGAGCTGCAGGTGACTCCTAAGTCATTTAATTTGTCAGATTCAGTAGGTAACCAAAACACAAACAATACATATTCAAAATAGATGTAGCACCTTCTTAGTGTAGAATGCAAAGTAAATTTAGTTTTTTGCTCCTTCTATAATCAGGGGAGCAGTGGCTGTTTGGTTTGGCCTGTTCAGGGTCTCACAGGCTGGAAGTTTGATTGCTTCTCCTGCCTCTGGAAGAAGCTTCAAGAGCTTAGGGTGTGAAATTCAATTAACCAGCCTGAATATTTATCATGCTCTATCATTGAGAGGAGTGTCCAGAGGAGGGCTGCAAGGATACTAAATAGTCTGAAGTACTGGAGTTCTGGGTTCTCTCTCCCCAGGAAGGTTCCAGAGCCTGAGGGACTACTGCCCTCAGGCAGCCCATGGACTGTGCAGCTGTTCTAGAGGCCTTAGTGGTGTAAGGGCTGAGGGCCTGGATGGATTTTCCTCGAAGCTAATTGCAGGACCTCACCACAGGAGATCTAGTCTGGAGAAGGACTGTCTCACTCATTGAACCATGTCTAGAGGAAGCTGGAAGGTGGCAGCTGTCCTGGGGACTTGTGAGTAAAGACCCTAAATTGATCCCTGTTACAGTGCAGTGTTCTGGAAATCACATTGGGTAAAAGTTGTTGTGCATAGGCACAAGGTAACCAGATGCCAAAGAAACCTGCCTCATGGTCTTCAGCTGTGAGGCCTTAGACTGCTCAGAAACTTGCTTTATGGTCCCCAGTTGTGAGGTCTCAGCCAGCTGTGGCAGTTTACACTGTCCAACATTCATGTTTACATAAAGCAGAACTTCAAAACCAGAAGGAAATTCCATTTTTCATCCTCCTTCTCTGTCTTTTTTGGGGGGGAGCCGGTACCTGACTTTGACAGGTACCCACTCCCACTTCCGTTCAGATTCCCGCAGCGATCCAAGCAGACGTTTGGCCCTACCTCCTATCTTCGCAGCCTCTTTGGACATGTCACAAGTCCCAGTAGACTGCTTGACCATTCAGTGGGCAGTGGGCAGCCAGCTGTGAAGCCATAAGAAGTCACAGTCACCTGCCCAAGAAGCTTGCACCTAGGCCCGAAGACCAGCAAAGAGCCAGGTCGGGTGAGGACATTGCTGGATCCTGGGACAGGCAAGTGTGTGTGGTTTTTGAAAGTCAGCAGCTACAGTATTTGTAGCTGCTGACTTTTATATTTTTGCTTGCAGGGTGAAGTTCCTCTTTAAGGATACAATTGTCCTCTAATTGCTATGATCTAATCGTTTTGGAGTATCCCACACCCTAACCCCTCTCCTGTTAAAGTTTCTTCAATAAAACACCTAGACTGTGTTACTGAAGCTGGTGTGAATGAACTGGTTCTTGCAGTGGTGGTCAGTCTCTGTACTTTCACAGCCTCTGTACCAGTTAATACCAGCGGCCCCTACAGAGAGAGCACGATATACAGTATATATATATATATATATATATATATATATATAAAACCTAGGGCAGTCTTACCTGGGGGCTGTAACTATGTGTAATGGTAAAAAAACATTAAAGGACCCCACCTTCTCTCTCATCTCTAACTCAAAGGCAAAATTCCTTTAGTAAACAGAATACTCACTGCCTTCCCAGCAATCATATAGATTAGAGGTTCCCAAACTATATATACATTCATTTTATTCAGCTGCAAATGTAGCCACACAGCTCTGGGACCCATAGCGGTAACAAGATCTGCCATGACGTAATTCCAACACTGGTATTACCACTACACTCAAAAGGGGGGAAATCTTATTGTCAAAAGCCATTCATTTACAATGGCACTCCAATGCACAAGTACGGTAGCTGGCAAAGCACCAGCTCAGCAGTGCACCATGACACACATAACTTGTATGTAGTGGAGGTATGTTTTTAATCAACATTAGGAG